AGAAAGCTCATCTGCCAAACTTGGTTCAGAAATATATAAACCAAGCAAATATAGCCTTCATGAAACACTAGGGGGGTGGTTTGGCCCCTACGTGGAATCATTTTCCCAAAGAAACTGCATAGGAAGACCAGACAATGTATTGTTTTCATATGAGGAGTTAAGTTGGGAAATGCTTGTGTTAATATTTATCCAGGTTACTACTGGTCTATGGTCCGATGATTAGCATGGCGGCTTGACGACAAAATTTGAAACATTGGAAAAAAGATATTGGTCACAAATTACGTAATCGATGACACTTATTCCGTTTCTTCCGTGGAATGTTGGTCTTCCCAAAGTATCACCGCCGACTCTTCCGTTTAGAATTTTGAGATCGGCGCTTTTGCAAATATCAAGAAGTCTTTTACCATAAGAATTTAACTCGTTGTCATAACTGTTCCGTCGACTGGGACGAAATGAAGAGTCAGACTGATCATTTGTTATGATGTTATGTCCGTTGTGACAAACACTGTCTGAATATTTTCCTGTCCTCGAGTTGAAGTCACCTGAGAGGAAGATTGATCCCTTGGATGAAAAATTCAATCCACCGTTTTCGAGTTCTTCAAAAATTTCGGGGTCAAAATAATTTGAGGTAATTGGTGGAATACATAAATGCCACACGCGTAGATATCTTTCGATGTTTTGGCGTAATGTTTGTGGATTTTGAACCAAAGAAAATTTGGAGATGTTTTGACAATTGAAATCAATCATGAAATATATTCTTGTATAGCAAAATAATTCCATCACCACTTCTTGACATTTTTTGACCCAATTGTTTTCCATCGGATTAAATCTTTGCATCATCCGACGCAAACTGCCGCCAACATTTTTGGATTTGGTTCAAACAGCAAGTAGTTTGTTATGGATTTTGAAAGTATGGATGATCTAGCCATCGACCAAGTAAAACAGAGATTAGTCATTCCTGGAGTTTGAGGTCAACAACAACTCAAGGCTGGGAAACTGTACGCGAGGTTGATGTCCTAGATTGACGTTAAGAAATGTGGTAGACCTACAACGTAGATCCTTTTGACTGGTTGTTCGACTTGCTAATGATTTTTGTCGAGTGTGGTAAGAAGTAGTCGTGGTTACACACAAAGATTTTGGGATGCAAACTGTTTCACTCGCTCAATTTATATCTGTTAGCTAAATTGAAGATAAGGCTGTAATGTATGGTATTTGTGCTATGAAAGTACTCGAAATGTTTTTTAAAACAACTAAAGAAAGGAATCAACTCATTAAGTTGTACGACTTGGATAAGGGCGTGATTACCT